AAGGAATGTTTAGGTATGCAAATTACTTTTTATCCAAATAAAGGTTATATTGCTTTGAATTAGAAAAACTATATTATTCAGTTGTTAGAAAGATTTAACTCTTAAGTTATTATGATAAAGGAGTTAAAACTCCAAAGAAAGTTCAATTGGAGTTTTGGGTGGTAGACAATGGATTAGTAACAATTGTATTAGAGATAAATTTCCTTATTAAAGGCTAATTGTCAGTTTGATGTATTTATCTATTTTAATCAGATCAGATATATCACTTATAATCAGTTTCTTGAACCAATTTAACAATGTATATAATGCGTATCAGTGGAAATGTGCAAAAAGAGTATTGAGGTATTTAAAAGACACTATTACCTGTTCTCTGATTTACTCAAAAGATGATTCAGACTTATAAGGTTTTGTAGATGCCGATTGGTTCAGCAATACATTAGATCGTAGATCCTTCACTGGATATGTATTTAAACTTGTGGCTGTGCAATGTCTCTTGGCAAAGTGCAAAACAAGAAGAGGTAGTTTTATCTCGCTGCGAGGCACAATATATCACCTGTCAGAGGCTGCTAAAGATGATGTTTTTCTTAAGGGTTTGCTAAGGGATTTAATTGAAAAAACTGAATGTATTATTTTATTTAACGATAATCAAAAAGCTTTAAACTAATTCAATCAGCAAATCTAATTTATCATAAATGAAGTAATATTATTTATCTGACACAATTATTAATGTACAATATATGCCTAGTGATGTTATGCCAGCTCATGTGTTGACTAAAGGTCTAGTTGCTGAAAAGCTGCTCAGATTATTGAAACTGTTAGAGTAATCTATAAATTTTGTGTTATTGATAAATAGGGGTGTTAATTGATATCAACAAAAAAAAAGGAAAATCAAACAAGAAAATTCTATAAAAATCTGAATAATGGAAGAAAAGAATTTAAACCAAGGATCGGATTATGTAAGGATAAAGAGGGGCGTATACTCAATACAAAAGAAAAAGTATTGAAAAGTTGGGTGGAACACTATAAAGTACTACTTACTATCGAAGTAGAAGATCTAAATCAACCACCCCCAGGAGCAAGCAACAATACACCATTGGAGCCTCCATCAATTCAAGAAGTGCGGGATGCAGTAAAACACCTAAAAAATAACAAATCTCCAGAAAGTGATGGTATACCCGCGGAACTTATTAAATGATGAGGTGCTACTCTTACTAACCATATATATATTATATATAAAATCATACTGAAAGCCTGGAATGAGAAACAAATCCCGGAAGAGTGGTGTATTGAAGAAATAAATTGTATGAAACCATGGATGAATTTCACATATCCGATAAACTGATAAGATTGGTTATGGCTACAATACCTAAAGTTGTTTGCAAAGTCGAAATACAGGGCGAACGATCACAGGCATTTGAAACGTATGTTGGGATGCGACAGGGATATGTACTGGCGTGGCTCCTTTTCAACATAGCTCTCGAAAAGGCGATTAGGGATGCCCAAATAGACAACACAGGAAACATTTTTAATAACTCATCCCAAATTGTTGCATATGCAGATGATGTTGACGTAGTTGCCCGCACAATACGCAAACTAGAAGAAATGTATACCACATTGTCAAATGACATCAACACCCAACAATAGAGCCAGAAACATCGGCCACCAATTCACTGTTGATAACTCTACCTTTGAAGTGGTGGACAAATTCACATACTTAGGCTCCCTGATCACCAAGGAGAACGTCATGACGGAAGAAATCAAACGAAGAATAATCCTAGCAAACAAATGCTATTTTAAATTGAGTAGACATATGAGAGGCAGAAACTTAAGCCAAAAACAAAAATAACCATATACAAAACCCTTATACAACCAGTGTTGACATATGGGTCGGAGACATGGACCATTTCCAAGGCAGATGAAAACCTCCTGATTATATTTGAACGAAGGATCCTGAGAAGAATATTCGGTGGCATCTGTGAAAATGGTGTTTGGAGAAGGAGGTACAACTATGAGATGCATTACAGATATAAATATATATTTGGTGGTAAAGACGTAGTATCTCTCATAAAAATAGGAAGACTAAGATGGGCAGGATATCTGGCAAGATCACCGCAGAACAATCCTCCTAGAAGAATCCTTATGTCACAACCTGTGGGAAGTAGAAGTCCAAGGGCTAGTCCAAAACTCAGATGGAGGGATGGTGTAGATGAAAATGGTAGAAAAATAGACGTTGGCAAACTGACTGGCGTAATAAACTTGGGAAGGTCGAGGCTCTTTTATAGGACTGTAGCACCAATGATGACGATGAATTGATATCAACTAAACAAAATTTAAACATTAGCGCCATATGTCATTTACCGGAAGTTAAGGTTGGTACAATGTAAAGTGTAAATTGCATTCACTTTCGGAACAAAATAAAGTTGGTCTTAACTGTATTCAACTGGTTAGTTTCATTTACAAGTTTTAACAAAACCTACCAGGAATCGTAATTAGTAAAAACATTAGCAAGTTGCTTTAATTTTTGTATACATTGTTTATTTATAGAAGAATAATAAATAATAAATATAAATATAATAATAAATAATATAATAAATACATATTCATTTCTATATCCGCATTAAAGATTGTTATATTATCAACTGCATTAATCTCTATATAAGCAGCGAGGGTGTATTATTTGGGATTAAGCGTCTAAAAGTTTGTACATTTTTGTTTTGCAGAAACGGATTATTATTATGAGATAAATTTTTGCTATACAATATACACTATCGCGACAATTATGGCAAAGTTTTAAGAAATAATCAAATTCTTTCGTTATTGTATATAAATTGCTGTCTTTTAGTTTCGGAAGATGTACGGGACTCGTTGACAAAATTCTTTCAAAGAAATGTAACCGTGCTGGTTTTTAAAAGTCCCCGTAGTATGTTGAAAATATAATATATTAAATATATATATATATATATATTTACTATATATACTAAAAAAGTATATATTAAAAAAATTAATACGAAAAAAAAATGGGGGATGAGTATGAATATGTCAAAAACAGAATATATGCGAATAGGCAGTGAAGACGAAGACCCGGATTTGGAAATTAGACAAATGAAAAGGTGCTACGAATACAAATATTTGGGAAGTATTATCTGCAGTAAAGGAACAACGTAACGAGATATAGACTATAGAGTGCAACAAGGCAGGAAGAGTGTTCAAATTTTGAATTCGATACATTGGTCCAACAAAGCTACTATGAGAACTAAAATGACTATCTACAAAGTAATTGTAGAGCCCATTCTTACATATGGAGCAGAATGTTGGCAAATGACAGTAAAAGGAAAGAAAAAAGTTGACACGGTTGAAATGGACTACCTGAGAAGAGCTTGCCGTATATAAAGAGTAGAACGTATACCTAATTCTGAAATTAGAAGAAAAACAGATAGAGTACATACAACTTCTGAAAGAATAGAAACTAGACAGTTAATATGGTATGGACACGTACAGAGGATGGACGACAACAGATGGCCAAAAAGAGCTATGGAATACAATCCAAGTAATAGAAGGAAACGAGGAATACCAGGCAAGTCTTGGATACAAGGTGTTATGGAAACCATGAAAGACAGAGCCATTGATGAAGACACCTGGAGAGATAGAAAAAGATGGCGATCGAAATGCGGGAAGCGGCAGAAGCTATAGGATCCCCGCTTATATATGTATATATATATATATATATATATATATATATATATATATATATATATATATATATACAGGGTGGTGAATCGTCAAACGGGCCATAGGAAACTCAATGAGAAATTCTAAATTGTTGAATTCCTGTTTCCCTAATTATTTTACACCAAAAGTCATGGGAAACTATTTGTAGAGGACTCAAATATGTATCGAAAACAATTGTTAAAATTGGTCTCCGACTTAAACGTATCCCAAAATTTTGCTAAAATATAATACATTTTTCAGGCCACCCCTAAAAGTCAGGCCAGACGCCGTGAAAAGAATGTGTATTACGTGTTGCGTTTTGTCATATTGACGTTTATAATATTTGACAATATTTAAATAAAGTATATTATATTTATCTATGATTTAAATGGCCAAAATTTTGTGATTTATTATTTAAAAGACAAATTAAGTTGATTAAAAAATGTAGTCAGTTAAGGAGAAAAGAGCATTAATAAAAATGTTTTATTATAACATTTGTTATAGTTTTATGTTTAAAAATTATTGTATATTATTATTAGGAATAAAGATCACAGTAACAGTATATTGGAATTCATTGAATTGTTGTATAACTTAACATGGAATTAAATTTTAGTGTATTAGAATATCTTACTTTAAATAAAGATCCGGTAGTGACAGGAAAAGGTTCGCGCTATTGCCAGAATACAACATTATGCGATTTTTCGTCAACTGAGTACATTTCATTATATTGATCGATTTGTAAACAATATAATTTATTGTTCACGAAGTAATATTGTTCAGTAGTAGTAGTATTTAGTAAAATTCATTGTTTATAATTTAATCATAAAATAAAAAAAATTGACAATTCAAATTGTCAAACATCTGACATGAATATGATAAAACACACAAGTTATAATATATTCTTGTATTACGTGTGGCCTAATTTTGAGGGGTGGTCTGAAAAATCTATTATATTTTTGCAAAATTTTGAAGTACATTTGATTCGTAGAACGGTTTTAACATTTGTTTTTAATTTAGAATGTAGTCCTCTATAAATAGTTTTTTATGACTTTTGATCTAAAATAATTAGGGAAGCAGCAATTCAACAATTTAAAATTTCCCATTGAGTTTCCTATGGCCCGTTTGACGATTCACCACCCGGTATATATATTAAAAAGCTAAGCGAAGGAAAATTTTAAGTACAGTTAGGCATTAGAGAAAGATATTTAGGAGCTGATCTCATAGACAACCTATCTTGAAGTCAACCTTTAAAATATTTTCTTCGATTTATTATATTATTTCTTTCTTTCTAGGTTTAGGAGTCGGCTTGGCATCCTCATCAACATTCGTAGCTCTTAGCAATTACTTCGTTAAGAGACGTGGACAAGCCGTAGGCTTCTCCTTGGCAGGTACAGCTGTAGGTATGATGGTGATGCCACAAGCTATTCGATATCTATTGGAGTGGTACTCATTTCGAGGCGCAATTTTGGTACTTGGAGCATTTGCCATGAATGGTATTGCGGGCTCCGCGGTACTACAACCCGTTGAGTGGCATTTGGTTGATGAGGAAGTTGACGAAGAGGCGGGAGTATATCATCAGGTTTGTTTCGAATGCTATAGATTGCATATTTACCAAAAAATTAATGTATCTTTAATTATTTGTTGATAGAAATGAAAGCTAAACTTTCGAAAAATGAACTATTTTATATCTCTTCTGTATTTTATAAAGTTTATATCCACATATATAAATAGAGACATTTAAAGTAAATTAATTAAAATAATTATAATTCTAAAGCGTTTCTAAATATGTATAGAAAAGATAATTAAGATTTAATTTAACGTATAGAGCTTAAACAATTCGCTTATATTTATTTCACCCTTTCAGGTCTCATCAGAGTGACTATGTAAGAAGCCCTAAACGTGAAATCAAATTTTTCCGTCAAAGGAAGTAATAATTAAATAATTTCCTAAAGACGCACACGACAACATCTAAGAATAAAGTAAAAAGTTAAAATCCGAATATTTCTACTTCTGCGAAACCAAAATCCTTCGGATGTTTACTTTTTTGGCTTTATTCTTAGATGTTGCCGTATGTGTACTTAGGAAGTTATCTCATTATTACTTCCTTTGACGGAAAATATTTGATTTCACGTTTTTTTCGTCATTTGACGAAATACGTATAAGCGAATTTTTTCTTTTGTATATCTTTAGTTACTCGTTTTTTAAGTATTCGAAGCCAGTTCATGAAAGGTCCTTACTTAGATGAATTGATATGATGTGGAATGCAATTTTAGATTCCAAATGTCGATTTATTCATCGCCTGTTTGTTTTGTAAATCGTAGAAGACACAGATTTATATGAAAATCTGGATATTGGTTTCGAACAAGTAGAAATCTTCACATTTTTACTTTTTGCTTCATTTCTATATAATTTAAAGAATTTATCTTTCATTTCTAGCACTTAAATTGTATTTTTAATGAAAATATCTTATTTTTATCGCTGCTAAAGAAGATACTGTTTTATTTTGCATCTACAGAGGTAATTTGTTTACAAGGGTGTTATTTTTTACATATTTTCAAATAGAAATAGTTTATTATGTAGAGAATTCTGATTACAGAATTCATTTACAAGTTACAGTATATTTCAGCGTTATTGACGTATATCGGACGTGTTCTTGGCCCTTATCAGTGTATTAATTACTGTTAAACTGGGAATAAGCCACAATTAAAGATAAAAATACGTTTATTGACGTTTCAATTTCCACTTCGGAAATCGTTCTCAAAATACAAACAGTAAATTAAACAAATTTTGTTTTTTGTTACATAGTGAAACATTCTTCTAATAATTGTTGATGGATCATGGATCAGAGTTGTTGGACACATTCCTAAATGATATAAACGATAAAGAAGAGACAATAACATTTACCATGGAAAAGGAACGTAATAACACGCTACCTTTCCTGGATGTTTTAATTTCTAAGAACGATACTGGATATGAGACTCAGGTGTATAGAAAACCAACACACACCAATAGATATTTAAATTTTAAATCAAATCACAATATTAATGTAAAAAAGGGAATAATTAAATCCTTATACGATAGAGCCAAAATTACTTGTTCTAACGAAAATTCGTTCTTGGAGGAGAAACATTTGTTAACATCTGTTTTATTAAAAAATGATTATCCTTTATCGTTTATAAATAGAGAATTTTCAACAATACATAAAAGGATTATCAGAAAAACTTAAAAGGATAGGAAATAAATTCAACATTTCAACAACATTCAAAACAATAAACACGTTGAGATCTATTTTGTTTAAAACCAAACCTAACAATGAACAAGAAAGGACAAATAATTGCATTTATAAAATACCTTGTGAATGCGATCAGTTTTATTAAGGTGAATCATCAAGGCCATTAAATGTTAGAATAAGTGAACATCAATCTTATATTAAAAATAGAGAATTTTATAGATCTCAAATCTGTAAACACGCATGGGATAATGAACATAGGGTTCAATGGAATAATTCAAATGTAGTCCTAAAAGAAACGGATGGTAAAAAAAGAAAAATCAAAGAAGCGGCTTTAATTATGCTAAATGAGGCCAATTGTGTCGCAAATTCCTCGGCAGAATGTAGTAGGATCTGGTTACCAATATTGAAAGAGGAAGTTATTAATTAGAAAATACCAGTATTAGTAAGTCAGTAACATACAGAGGATACATCATTTATGTTTTTTAAATAACGTAACATATAAAATCAGAATTTTGATGTTTGTTGAGGGTAAACTAAATTCACGAACAAATACTTACAATGTCGGGATAGTATTATGAGGTTTTTTCCTGGTTTTTCCCTCATAATTTACTATAGAATCACTAACAGGAGAATTTTACTGTCATCATGTCATGTGTTTGTCTTTTTAAAGACGAATTACATGCTATGATTTTTTTCTGACGGATATTCTCAAGTTAAAGTTGATTTCATGTAATCGAATGAACTATATTATAAGTAAAGTCGTCCCAGGAGCGCAACTCAACAATATTGGCAATATCATTTTAAAGTCGTCTACTTTAAAATGCATAATGTATGTCTGAATTGTCAATATAAATGAGTCAGATAAAATTAAATTATTAGAAGAATTTTTCATTATGTAACAAAAAACAAAATTTGTTTAATTTACTGTTTGTATTGTGAGAACGATTTCCGAAGTGGAAATTGAAACGTCAATAAACGTATTTTTATCTTTAATTGTGGCTTATTCCCAGTTTAACAGTAATTATTTTACAATGCCACAAGAAAATAGCTTCAGAACAATATCTTATCAGTGTAGATACAATCCGATTGAGTTGGCCAGATGCATAGCTAAAAGTAATAAAATTTAAACCATCTATTATAAACCAATTTTACCACAGCCAGTTGACTTATTATATATTTCCATTCATTATTCTATTCTATTCTATTCTATTCTATTCATATTTGGAGTCACTTGCTAGTCCGTGAATAGTGATTACCGAATGCGAGATAGAATACCTTAAAGTCATTTAAGATATGGTTGACTGTTTCAGGTTCGGAATCTGTAACTTCCATGGAATAGCCCCATTAAATGCAGATGTTCCTAAACTGGCTCATGTCCAGTAAAGAAGCCTGTTATGACCCTCAAATGATTCCAGTTTGTTTTCCGCATCAACTCTATTAGCACATATCCGTCCACTTCGAAAGATACTTTAGTCAAATGTCCTCTTGGAAAGATAGTTTAGGCCTGTATCTGGGTACCATAGAGTCAGAAATCATCATCCATTCGGTATCCCTAATTTCATTTATGGTGTTACTATGTCATGATATAACCATTAAATTGTTCTGGTTTTCTCGAATTATAATGATATGCAAAAGAGAAATGTCCAGTAAGACCTCCATAGCTCCTCTTGTTGTACCTTGCTTAGTTTGAGAATGGCACTTTTTGGCTGCACTTTTCCTCACCATACCATTGATGCATATATCTTATTGGTTTTACTATCATGTAATCAATCTAATATAACCATCCCTCTAAATTTATATTTCTGGTAAACTTAATGATTTTGGACTTCTGGGAGCTTATGTTAAGCCTCTTAACATCTGAACTTCCTTCTGTCAAAGCCAGTTCCATTCTATCATAAATACGTCTTTTTCTTCCTTCTTGTATGTAGGCTTTAAAGCCTGTTTCTTCTTCAATACTAGCTTCCTAAATTGTTTAAATTGTCGCATCATCTTTTACTATCCTCTGTGGCACTCGTACTATTCTATCCTCTGCCATTCTACTGATGTGTTCGTTCCACTCCTGTTTTTGTTTTGTCACCCATCCATTTATGTCTTCTATCTTACATGCTCTTCTTATGTTTTTCTCCCTATCCAACACACTTTTTCCTGATATTCGTCGGAGTATTTTCATCTCTGTTGTTTCTAGTAGTCGTCTCGTTTTAGATGTGTCAGGTCTTGTCTCCGCCGTGTATGTTAATATAGGTCTAATTGCTGCTTTATAGATTCTTGTTTTTGTGTCTTGTCTTAGGTGTTTGTTCTTCCAGATTGTGTCATTATGAGATCCCGCCGCTTTACTTGCTTTTAAGCTTTGTTGTCGTACTTCTTCAACATCTCCGTAACTAGTTCTATCTACCTATCTATTCCCAGCTATCTAAACCTTGCTTCCTGCTTTATTATTTTCCCATCAATTTCGATTTTACACCATAGTGGGTATTTAGATGTTGTCATACATTTGTTTTTTTTTCTGCTGATATTATCATATTGTATTTCTTGGCTGTTGTATGGAAGATATGTGTTAATCTTTGGAGCTCATCTTCTGTCTCGGCGATTAATGCGGCGTCGTCTGCATAACATAATATTTGGATTTCTTTGTACCCCATTTTGTAACCATGACCTTTACGTACTGCTAGTATTATTTCGTCCATTATTATATTAAAGAGAAGTGGGCTTAACGAGTCGCCCTGTTTGATTCCGCTTTGTACTGGTATACACTGTGTTAGTTTTCCATTTATCTTTGCCTGTATTCAATTTTTATGTATGGTAATCGAATATTTATATTTATCTATTATTTGCCGGACATTTAAAATTTCCTTTCTTGTACCTCTTCCAGGCATAAACCTAGGCAAGGGTAACTGCGGGGTCAAGAAAGGTTTTAAGCGGTTGCATATAATATGAAGTAGAATCTTACTTGCCTGCGACATAGAGCTATAGTTCAGTTACAACAGTATGTAGGTTAGCGTGAGCCCTTCTTGTGCAGTGGGATGTAAATTGACTCATGCCATTTCTTTGATTACTTCGTTTCTTTCTTGTAGAGTCCATGAATGCCCATGTTGTCTCTCAAGTAAGTTACCGAAGCTAATTTACTTTCCCGGTTTTCTATTTATTTATTTGTATTTTTTATTGTTCTTCAGTTATTATTAATTTTTATTTACTAGATTTATACATCCTATTATAGACTTCAAACCAATAAGACCACGAATCTAAGAGTAAGGAGCAAGTTTTTAACATCAGTCTAATAAATGTACACGACCCAACCGAAGACAAAGAAGCGGATGTAAAAGATAAATTCAATGACGAAGTAGAGACCACCTACGACAGACGTCCCAAAACGACATCAAGATCATAATTGGAGATCTTAATAGATCTTACGAGAATATCCATAACGTAACATGGACTTCGCGTGATAGAACAACAAGAAATCGAATAGATCATATCCTAATAAAAGGCAGGAAAATCTCTAATCTAATGCATGTACGTACCTATCGTGGGAGTAATATAGATTCAGACCACTTCTTGGTAGGCACAAAAATAAGGGCAATTATATCAAACGCAAAAAAAAAGAAAAGGACAAGAGTAGCACTCGATATTATTTTATATTGAGGAGATTGCCATATATATGGAAGTCAATTGGGCAAATCATGTATATGGAGGTCAATTGAGTAGATTGAACGTGTTTAAATCCACAGAACTGTTTTCGTAGCAGAATTATATTTCAAAGAATGGAAAAGAAAAGTATTTTAAAGTATGTAAACATTTATTTCTAAGCTGAGCGCGTTCGGCTTACAAAGCCATCTTAAAGTAAAGAGCCAAGGTCAAGTTGTTAGAAAGTACCACTACTTAGAAGAGATCGCATTTTTGGTGAAAAATTCACAATTTTTCTTTAAGCTATTTCTTTAGGTTAAGATATTTCTTTGAAAAAAACACATATTTTAATGTTTTTTTGGTGAAGTCCTCTGTACAGTGTTTTATGTGTTCTTTTCAAATCAAAATATTAACCTAAAGAAAAAGCTTAAAGGAAAATTTTGGATTTTTCACCAAAGATGGGATCTCTTCAAAGGACTGTTACTTTTTAAAAACGACCGTGGCTCTGATAACGGTTTTGTCAGCCGACTTAGCCAGGACACTTCAAAAATACTTTTCTTTTCCATTTTTTTATTTATTATAAATGTGTACAAAAACATATCAGTCTCTTCATTTAGAATTATATTTATTATAACAGCCTGCCTTTTATAACACTGCACAATTTTTCCATTTCTTGATGAGGCTCTTCTATAATGAGAGCATAACACTGAGTCATATTAATCTGTATTGGATATGCTTTGAGTTTGATATACATTGTTGTCCTTGACTAGAGGATAAAACTTAGTTTCGTTGTCTAAAGTTGTTATTTCTCACTTCCAGGCAATAAGTTTCTCACAGTGCTAGGATGTTTAGTTTTAACCTCAACATTTCTTTGATTGTGTTATCTACTTGTCCTGCCATGAACTAACTTCTTATATTCCATGTACCAATCTGGAAGCTTTTGTCTTACAATTTTCAACTTACGGCTGGTAGAAAAAAATCCTTTTACAAGTTAACAGGCTCCTTTTCTAACTTGGCTGCATCGTACTAAAGACCACCAATAGCCACAAATACGTATATGAGGTTGCCTTCCAACGCTATACCTATTTTGTTTTTTTTTCCTGTTTTGCGAGATATGCCATTACATTTTACTTTCATTATTCACTCATATTAACCTTTTCTATTTGTTTTAAACCTTTTAACGTTTGGCATTCCTTTCCTCAGGTAGTTGTAGCTTCCTCCGTTTTTATTGTTAGTTGTTGCCCTGGGGGCTGGGGCCACCAGGGTTTTCTAACTTTAATACCACAAATTGGTTGTATTGCTTCTATAGTAATCCTTTTATATGAATTTGCAAAGTGCATTGAATCGAAAAGTATTATTTTGTAAATTCACTGTCTCTTTGTTTCTTTAAATTAAGAATAATCTTGTGCCTCTTACATCCAATTCCTATGACAACGTTTTAGATCGGTAGTCCAACGTGTTGGTAGACGACCTCTGCTTCGGTAGGCATCATCTCTTGGTCTCTATTCCAGTATCCGCATTGTCCATCTATTATCTGTCATTCGAGCCACGTGACCTGCCCAGTTCCATTTCAGTGTTGCTACTCTCTCTACTACATCAGCCACTCTTGTTCTTTGTCGTAGCTGGCGATTTGGGATCTTGTCTCGTAGTGAAACGCCCAACATAGCACGCTTCATCGCCCTTTGACACATACGGATCTTTTGAACTGTTCTCCTTGTCATGGTCAACGCTTCCGCACCGTAAGGCAACATTGGCAAAACACACTTTTCATTGGAAAATATGGTTCAGCTTGCCGAAGGCTGACCAAGTCAGTCTTATACGACAGAGAAGCTCAACGGTTTGGTTATCTTTTCTTATACGCATCTCATGACCTAGGTATTCATTGGCCATTAACTGGTCTACGGATCTTGTTCCTACGCATATATCTTCGCTGACTACAAGATTTGTCATCATCTGGGTTTTAGATATATTTATTTTCAATCCCCCTTCTAGGAAAGGTAGAGCTGATTTAAAAGTTCTTTGGCCTCATCTATCCTATCAGCTATTAGTACAATATCATCTGAAAACCTTAGATGGCTAAGCTTTTCTCCGTTTATGTTTATGCCCTTGTCGGTCAGTTTTGCCCTTTTACATATATATTCCAAAAGCGTAGTGAATAGTTTCGGCGATATGGTGTCCCCCTGGCGTCCTCCATGTTGTATCGCGAATTTCTGGGTTTGATGATCACCCACTCTAACACTGGCTGTTGCGTTTTGGTATATGTGTTTAATTATATTTATATACCGATAGTCAATTCGGCATTCTGTCAAGGCTTCCAACATTTTTTGTTGTTTTACGGTGCAAGGTGATATTAAAGCTAGTGGCTTATTATATTCAGTGCATTTTTCTATAAGATTTTTTATTACCATTAGGTGATCGTTTGTTCCATAGCCATTTCTAAAACCCGTCTGTTCTATGGGCTGATAAAATTCCAATTTATTTTCTAGTCGTTTCGTAATTATTTTTGTAAATAGTTTATAAATATGTGAAAGTAGACTTATGGGCCTGTAATTCCTGAGGTCGGTAGCATCCCCTTTTTTGTGAAGTATGATAATTTCTGCGTTATACCACTGGGTTGGTGTTATTGCTTCCTGCAAACATCTAGTGAATAGTTTGGCAAGGAACTGCCATAATCTTTTTCCAGCCATTTTCAAGCCATCTGCCACTATTTCATCGCCTCCAGGGGACTTATTGTTTTTCATTTCTTGAACACTGACCTTCGAACTTCATTGGGTGTTACGTCCGGTAAAATTTCAGATCCCTGATTGATTATCTTTGGTAATGATCCACTCCCGTTACTGCTGTTCTTTGTATAGTTGTCTATAAAAACTCTCTATCGTGTTCATAATTTGAACTCTATCCTCAATGATTTGCCCCTGTTCATTTCTTAATTTGTGGACGTTTTTTCTTCCAATGGACATGCTCTGTCTGAGTACTTTCAAGCTTTTGTTTTCTTCTATTACTCTAGTTATTTTCATCGTATTGTATCGTCTCAGATCTTTTCTAACTCCCTTTTTAATTTTCTTATTCAAAATTTTTAGTTCATTTTGCATATGATCCTAATTTTCCCTAAGTTTTCTTCTTTCCTCTAGAAGATGTTTTGTGTTGTCGCTTAATTTTTTGTTATTGTTTTCAGGACGAGGACAGTATTTCTTTTCAGTTTCTTTCAATATTTGAGTAATATTATTGTTCATTTCATTGATGCTGATATTCCCTAAGTCGTGTGTATCCAAATCAGTCAATATTTTCTTTGCAAATTTAAATGTATTTATGAAAATATATAAAAATATAACTATTTTTAAATTTCAGTTGCCAAAAAAACTAACAAATGACGTGTTTTATAGGAAACTAATCAAATAACTTTTAATACAAATATATAATTACAATTATCTATTATCTGGTTACTTTTTTACAAACATCGATGATTTTGTAACTTTTAATTAATTCCAAGTTTGTTTGTTTTAAATTAGGATTTTTTATTTGTTAAAAAAATCAGTATGTGATTATCAACACGTCAAAAACGCTGAAATAGTTTATATTATCCTTAGTCACACTTTTGTAGTATATCAAAGTGAGAAATTTTGTGTAGAGTTTGAACAAATTTGTTAATATTTTGTTAGAATTTATACCAATCCTATATCATTTTATTCTTTTTTAAGGAAATGGAAACAATCAAAGAGACTGACGACGAAGATCTCGACTTACCAGAAGGACAAACATTAATCAGCAAAAATTATTCAGAAGTAGCGATGAAACATTTAGACGAACCGTCGAAACAAGGAGGCCTTACCAGAAAATCAACATTCCCCCGTAACTTCTCAACGATGAGTTTTACCGGGGCTCAAAGAAGGCGAAAAGTTTCGACAGAGTCCTTTTGGTCCAGTTATTCGAGGCTAGACTTGACTGATTCGAATGCGCAGCTACAATTTGATGTAAGTCATATAAATTCATGGTGCAGAAGATAGTAAATTTATAGTACTATATGTATGTATAACACGGTTAATACCGTTTTCGGTTTAAGTTTACATAACGTGTGATAAAAAGTACCTGCTGTACTATCTAAAGCTAAAAACTAAGCCTATCTCTTAAACAGTTCTATAGTCTGTAAACATGTTGAAAAACTTAAATACTGTAAATATGCCTTTCTTTTATTTACGTTCTGATTTTTTCGAACACTTTGGCAGTGAAAAATGTTCGCAGAATTTTCAGTATAATTCCTGAAATTGTCCTCCATCTTATTTGTTAATATTTTTATGGATATATATTAAAATATCATATATTATAATAATAACAATAAAATATAATATATTAATATAATAAAAATAAATCGCCGAAATGCTTGTACGGACATCACTTCAGAAATGACTGCACCAAATTAGATCATTATTTTTTTGTGTTCGTTATTAAGAAGGTTTATGTACAAGATGATTTTCCAAAAAATGTACGGAAATACCTTTAAAAACAGTTTTTCTGTCATTTTAAATCGCAATATAACTAATAGATGGCGTCATACTGTGACTAACAAAGGAAGCTATGATTCAAAAAATAAATAAAGGGATATTGAAGAGGTATTTTATATCATTGCTGTAAGTATTTGGTATTGAGGCCTCAAATAATTACGATGAAGTTTCAACATATCAGATGGGAAGATATATCAATGAGGCGTTTTAAAAAATCTCCTACTGTACTAAATTTAGCTGTTCACCTGGTGAATGAACAATGACTTTATTTTACTAAAGAAAACGAAACGTAAAGAGCTGAACGATCACAACAGCGTTGAAATGTCATATTTTCTTAAAGGGAGACTTGACAACATATACAGGGTATGTAACAATAAAACACTGAAAACTTTGTTTTCAAACTTCCACAAAATTTATTTTAACTATTATCACTACAGCTGTTTCGGCTGATTGCCTTTCTTAAGTGATCTATTTTTGGCATGCGTTTACAATTTATAGTCTCTAATGAAATAGGTTGAGGAGGGGAGAACTTTTTCTCTCAAGTTGGTCATTCAGAATTATATCTGTATTTTTTAATTTGTTGATTTCCATAGATTCTAACAAAGATAGCTTAAGGCCTTTATTTTGAATGTGAAGTATTTTAAATTTGTCATTAAAATAATGATTATGATCTAGAAGGTGAAGTGCGTATGTCGAATCTGTTTTTCTATTATTGAAAGCCCTTTTATGTTCTGCTATTCGTTTATTAAAGTTTCTACCAGTTTGACCGATGTAAGTTTTTGGGCAGTCGCCACATTGAAGTTTGTCCACACCACTATTTAAGTGTTTTTTATTTTGGCTCTTGTTATTTTTAATATATTTGCCTAGGTTGTTATTTGTTCGGAAAGCTGGTGTTATTCCTTTCTTTTTTATGTGTTTGGCTATTTTTGTTGTTATTTTGCCTGTATATGTAATCGAGCAGAAAGTACTGGGTTTTTACTGTTTTTACTAGAGTTATGTTATTTAGTTTAACTATTTCTTAATTTGGTTTGTAAACAAAATTTTTTGATTATGACTTTAATTTAACATAAGACTTAAAATGTTTTAAGTTAAATTCCATTATTTTGTTATTTTGTCAAATCCTATTTTTAATTATCCTGCTGATATATTTATTTTATTTAATATTTCGTTAACTATTAACTTTAGTTAAAGGTATTTTATACTAAAATTCAGAAGTAATAATGTTTTTGTCTATTTTTCCGTCGTTATACCTGGAGTGATTGCCTTAAATCAGAATTATGCAGCTAATTTGTAAAATGTGATTATCTCGAAAACTGAAGAAGTTTTGAAGTTATTAACAAGTATACCTTTTCTTTGTTAAAATAATGTATCTTTAATATGTTTTATCGCAGAAATAGGGATCTTAAAGAGCAAAAAATTTAAGTGCGGCGAAAAATATGGCACAAAGTGTGGCGCCCTCTATCAGCTACATCAAGGTGTGCATCAAATTATAATTTCCCGTATTTAAAAGTACCCAGTTGTAAATTTTTATACATAAATGTTTACAATCATGAAAGCTATAGCGAAAACTAAAATTATTAATTTGCACTTAACACCCTGTATATTTCTTAATATCAACATTTTATAAAGCAATTTGGCCTAAATCGTAATATTTTAAAATGTAGAATTTACTGTTTCTTTTTGTACAATTACTTAAGGACCACCCTGTATATTGTTAGGTAAATTTTAAGTTCAGCGTTAAGTCAGAACCTGCTTATTAAAATAAAATAAAATACGTTGAAATAAAATAAAATAGAGTAAAGTAAAGCAAAATAAAATAAATAAAATTTAAAAATAAAGTAAAATAATCTAAAATAAAATAAACTTGTGATGGATAAAACTGGCAAATTAGAAAGAGATGCAGGGACTGCTTTACGTCAGTTTTCTCTGTCGCACTATAGGAACGCGACTGCATGGCAGCTAACAGCTAACCTAATTTAAAATTTTTTGGGGGGAAAATCAAAACATCGAATATAGCGTATTTTTAATTATTATTGTAAATATTTTTCGATTGGACAAAGTAGATAATATAGAAATGCCACAAAAATAGTTTTCGAACTGTTACAAATTTAAAAACAAACGCCGTTAGTGACAAGTATTAAATTCTCTGAAGTACTTTGTTCTCTTTTTTAAGGGTTTTATTAAGTGACCTAGGTAAAATATTCATATTCTTGTCAATGATTCTAAAGTAAAATTATTTATACAAACTCACGAAAAACCCTGTATATTGATTCTGTTTTTTTACAATTTCAGTCAAAAGAAAATCCAGATACTATGTACACGCCCTCCAGACAGTTACGGAGAAATATGACCTTCCCTGGCATACCACTAGCAGCATCACAAAAGATCCGACCAATCTCACCACCGAAGGAAGAACCAAAACAAACTGGATGGCAGAAAGTTGTAGAATTCATGGATCTGGATCTCCTCAAATGCCCAATTTACCTGAATTTGGTGTTTGGTCTTTCGTTGGCGTTCGTGGCTGAACAAAACTTTAAAACAGTCCTTCCATTCTTTTTTCTAAATTTAGGATACGATAAAAAGGACGTAGCAACGTTCTTATCCTTCCAAGCATTTACTGATATTTTGGCAAGACTGATTTTACCACCTATCTGCGACCGGGTCAACCTGTCCAAAAAGACGTTTTTTATGATAGGAATTTTCTCTGTTGGCATAGCTCGATCAGGTAAATATTTTTTTATATTGGGATATATAATTAGATAACGCTAAAATTGTAGACTTGTAAATTTTGGAACTATTTTCATTTCATCGGTTGTCTTTAATTTGATCCCTATCATTTTACTGTGTTCTGTCACTTTTAATTCGTTTCTTTGGGCTCATTTTCATTGAAGAAACTTTCAAATATTCATTAGATACATATAGAACTTCCTTATATCCTTATATACAACTTACATCCAACGTTGTATCTCTGAAGGCTATTAAAAATTATATATACCTTGTTTTCGATTACATTTCGCATCTCTGCCTACTTAATGTAGTATAAAACTGCCGACCCAAAATATCAACGAAAAGGCAAATGTTGCATATTATACAATTTTGAGAACACAAAAATTAATGAATTAAAGAAGTGAAAAAAGAATGATGTTACAGAACATATGGTACATTTAAAATGGAAATTTGCAGCACATACCATTTGACGAAAGATATATAAAGCAAATATTGGTGACTATGGGAATTCCAAAGAGGATCTAAGATGTAGTGATACTTTCAAAGAACATGCTGTAACGAAATAGTTGCAGCGTAAAGAGACAAAGACTGAATTATTTGCAAAAATAATGTATAATGGAGAGATGAGATAGACAGAAATGTTTGTTCAACAAATTTTCATATTTCAACAACAACTTTTGAGTTTAATTAGCAATTGTGGTGTTATATCTTAAACATGTTACAAACTACCTTGTTGCGATTCTATTGTCTAATATATTCCAGCTCTAGCATCCAGATGGTATTCTTTATAATGCATGTAAAAGGTTTAATTAAATTGTTAATTATCAGTATGTTTTCAAGTTCTTTATTCCCTTTTTGTCTGCCATTATAAAATAACTGGATTACTTTAAATCCAAACTTTTTAAACTAATATACAAGTCACATTTTTTGTATTTTAATAATGCATGTATTATCTGTATGACAATGTAGGTAATAAAAAAGATGCATCTTAGAAAATAGATAGAAAAAAGGTAATTAAGCACTTACAGTGGCGATGCAAAATGGAAAATAACAAAAAAAAATTGAAAATCAAAATTCAAATAATCAATATAATGTTTAAGTTAAACTAAATGAAAAAATCCAACGATGAAGACAGTGGGTAACACATATCTAGAACAAAGTATTAAGAGAAACAAAGTGTGGGTGACACAAGATATATGAATATTTAATGGACCAAAGGCAATAAATAAAAAACATGCAGAGAAATACAAAGAACTAGATAGAAAAATAAAAAGAAAACTAAGAGATACCAAAGAAGTATGAATTAACAATGTGTAGAAATGGAATATTATGAAACCCAGAAGAAAAGATAGATCGGTATACTTAGTTTTAGACAGAGATGGAAAATAATCACAGACGTAAAAACAAATTAAAAAGGTAGACTGAAGACATATATAATAGTTATTTGCAGACAACAGAAACTACCTTCCACAGATATAAAGTGAAACAAGATCAGATATATTCAAGATAGATATATAATTATTAATATTTATAAAAAAAAATCGACAACTATAGTATTACATCTGTTTGACATACAATAGTGGTACTATACCTTACGAATGCTAACAGCTCACGTCATCACGATACCTAAAAAAAGTAATGCGAAAGAATGTTCCGATCACCGAATAATCTCGGTAATGAACTATTTGTTGAAGATATTTTTTAAAATCATTCATAAAACCATTTACCATTCACTAGAACTTCATATTAGCGAGATATGTACAGGATTCCGAAACGGATTAGGAGCTATATTTGCTCTAAATGTACTCAAATTGTTTTCTCACATCAGCTATGCAGATAATATAAAGTAGCTAATAATTAATTATAATCCTAAAGGAAAGATGGCGATAATGGAAAACAACAAAAAATGAAGGATAAAGAGAAAAATGATAAAAGAAAATGGATAAAAAGAAAGTTTTGAAAACTGACGGAGAAAAGAAAAATAATCTAAAGAATGGAAATTAATAAAATAAGAGAAAGGATGCGTGAATAAAAGAGGGAAAATAATTGAACACTAATGACTAAACACTAGCTTAATAATTGATTAAAAAGTTGTTGACATGATGTATACGACAAGTTTTTTTTAACTTTTTATTTTGTTTTATTTTCTTTTATATTTTTCTGATAAATAAATCTTATTTTGTTCAGCATATCTTCTAATATGTTTTATGACTTTTTGTTGGCAGCTGGTGGAGCCACTGAATAGGTAACTCCTCAAAAAAACGTAAGCTTTCAGAATCACTTGAAGCATACATTTATTTTTATTATGTTTCTTTTTTTTTAGAAAAGAGTTCCAGGATATTTTTATATAGTTTTTGCTTAAGGATCAAATTCACCGGTTGACATAAATTTTGTTGCCGATTGTAAAATTGTGTCTAAACATATGATAAGTTGTAAGACAAACTTTGTTAAACAAATCATAGCAAAATTTGAAAACCACCAGAATGGATCTTTGAACTATAACTCCTTATGCAAAACATGTAGATTTTAATAGGTTTTCCTAGATTAGTCATGATCAGGTTTCAATGTATTTCTTCTTCTGTAAATATTCTGTTCCCCTTGACACTGACTCATATCACTTGTTATTTGAAATTTATATCATTTATTAGCTCGCGTAGAGTATTTTCTACATTAAAGCCCTTGGATTATTAATATATTAAATATCAGAGAGGATAAAATACATTCTTGTCTAATAACTATATAAATTTTTGTAGGTTTTGATGTCTCCTATTTCGGTCTTATGATCTTTCATCTAATATTTCTAGTTTTATGATGTCTTAAACGGTAGAGTGTTTAAATGTCACGTGGTAGGTCCTGGCACCGGCGAAACGTCATGGCATTGAAATATGACACTGGCTTTGTTGCCTTCTTTGTGTACCGTACTCCCAGACTACGTGATATACTCCTAAGTTGTTCCGACAGTTTTGAAAAGATACTTAAGTAGTGCCGTAAGTTTTTAGTGTCTTATATTATCGAACATTTTGTTATAGTCAAACAAACAAACAAGACTCTTCGTTGATATCAAACTAGCGATGAATTATTATATATAAAAACCTTTACAGTATAAATGGCGATTGTAGAATAAGTCAGATGAACCGTGTTTTGCGTTAGAGATATAAATAAACCAACTAATATAATAATAGCTTCCAAACATTTTATAGCTACTTAGTTATACTAAGTACTTCGTGGATCTCTGCATTAGGTTTATAAATCAGAGCAGTACTACTATAAATGGATAAGTCAGTTACAAGTCAACATTTATAATACCTAATACTTAAATGTTCACCATTAGTATCTCCATTTAGTAGTTGCAAATTATAATGAAAACAATTGGCAATAAAAGTTTTGTATGCACCCGTGACTTTTTAGTTTCTTTTAATTTTCGCATAAGTGCCCACTCTTTTTCTTCCCGCCATTAATTTGAGATTTCCTTGTTTTCAGCATTGGCCCTACAGACTGAATGGACGAATATCGTCATATGGCTACTAGTTTGCGGATTTGCCAGAGGAGCAACATTAATCAACTTCACTATCACTATTGCAGAGTATACGTCCGAATTTGCAAATTTAGAAAAACTTCCAGCAGCTTTTGGGCTGCACATGGTCGGAAAAGGACTATGTATTGTTACATTAGGGCCTCTTTTAGGTAAATATAGAAACATATTGAGCAAAGTTTTATCCCACTAACCAACCATTAGTACAATTCGTCTACTTTTGTGTTATACTCAATCAAATCCAAATTGGTTTTGAGTATTTCCAAATAATCAATATCCGAAACAAATAATATACAGTAAATCATGGAATACTTATCACTGATAATTATTCTAGCTTTGAAGTAAAGGACATATTCACGAATTCAGAATTCCTTGTCTCCAATAAGAATTGCATCATACAAGAAATCAAACTAACGATAATTGTAACAACTAAGTGCTATTTTGAGCTAAGTTTGGAACTAAAAAGCAGAAACGTAAAGCCAGAAAACTAAAATAACATACAAAATCCTCATTTTGCTACTGCTGACATACGGATCCGAAACATTGGCCATCTGCAACGCAGATGAAAATCTTTTACTCGTCTTTGAAGGTAAAATTGTAAGAAGAATATATTTTGGTACTTATGAAAATGGAATATAGAATCCTTCCCAAAGGGACGGTTAAACCCGGAGGATGTAGTGGTAGGTCAAAATTTGGAGAGAGAAGAGGAACCCTTCCCGAAAATTCCTTACATTAAAGCCCGGAGGATCTAGATGTAGTGGTAGTCCAAAATTTGGAGAGAATGATGGTTTGGATAAAGATGATAGGAACATGTTTCTTCTTTTGTTACTACAGCCCTAAGTGGGTATTTGCAGGTTTCTCTATTTCCTTCCATCCCTTGAGTCATTCTCCTTTATCTTCTTACATTAATCCTTTTAATATTATCCTTATATGTTAAAAGCAAAGACACCAATCCAATTTCGTTCCCAAAAATATTTCTTGATAATTTCAATTTTCAATATATTAATTTTTATATTTTTAGGTTATATTAGAGACGCTACAAATAGTTTTCCAATTTGCATTCACTCTCAAACACTCCTCATCACAATAGGATGTTTAGCTTGGGTGACGGAATACATCGTGGTGTGGTGCCGCAAACGAAACAAGGCGCCATCTGTAGCAAACACAGAAACTACGACGAGCACCTGACGTCAAAGTTTTTAAGAAACGTGTATAATTCAGTATTTATTTAAACGTGAAGAGACGACCATACCTAATCACTCTTGTAAGTTGCTTATCGTCTTCTTAAATTCACGTTACTTATTTATTAAATAAATATTATATTGGACGTGGTTCCGTTATGCAATCGCAAGAAACGTATCGATTTGATTGTGACACGTCACGATTTATCAAAATAATTAGTATATCGATCATAATCATCAGATCAAACTATGTATTACTATCATTAAAGACGTCTATAAAACAACCCCGTATTATGAAAGAAAATATAACAGCCTATTAGTAAGCTGACATAATTTTCATTTCATGTTAAGCTATGGTAGAGACCACTACTGAATAATCATGAGAGGCTTTTAGATAAAAAATAGTATAATAGCATACACTGTCGACATTAGTCGCTAGCGTCGATATAATATACTAAAGATGGAGCCTGTTGGTTTTTTACATGTAGCTGGTAGACGAAGCATCGAGCAATAAGACAAAAGAGGGAATGTAAAGGTAGAAGGGGTAAACATATTGATAGACAGGAAGTGCCATCTTGAGAGGCCACTTTAGACAAGGATAGAGAGTCTCTCTCCTTGTTTGACATCAAATTTAGTTGGGTTATGTTATTGTTTGTCCCAAATGTCACATGAAATCTTATTTATATTGAAGTTTTTTAACAATTGTGTCGCATTTTAGACTCTTATCATTAATAATTAATTAAAACTTTCTCGTCTAAGACACATTTTGAAAAATATTATATAGCTACTGTTGATAAGTGTCGAAATATTTAAATTTGGCGCCTTTGCATTTCCGGATGTGTCCGCCATCAGAGGCCACTTTTTTGGTCTCCTTTTTATAACGATTAGATTCCCTCTTTTGTCTTATTGCTCGATGAGACGAAGGTACTGACGTCACAGTACTAGCTACAATGTCCGACGTTGACGCTACAATTTGACAGGTGATTAATTACTTCCCGATATTTTAGTGTTAAGCAGGTAAAATTATGTGTTCAAGTCATCGAGCAAAAAGACACGCTCGATGGTTCAAGTCAATCATTTAATGTATTCTTTTTGGTAAATTAATAAATTCGTTAAATTTTTAATATTTTGCATCCAGTCACATCAGTGGCGTGCGATGCGCAACTACGTATCTGTAAAATATGTATCTTTTTATTTTATAAAAATAATAATTTTTTAATTTTATAATGATACACGTCATTATATATTTTGTACAAATGTAAATAACAAAGAAAATGAATAATTATTGTACATAGGTATATATTGTACCAAAGGAACTTTTTTCGTACACAACTGAGATTCCGGAAACAAGATCGGCCATTGTTACTAACTACTTTAGACACAAGTATTTACTCATAGGCTCCATCCTTATTATATTATATCTACGGTCGCTAGTCAAACTTTAGTGCTAGGACTTTTGATATCTGCAATGACGTATAATATATAGACTCGGTGAACGCTTTAAAAAGTGTCCAAAACATGAATACCTTTGTTATTGTTTATTGTTTTGATACGAAGATGCACGAAGTTCATGATTTCATACGAAGCATCACGAAGTTGATCTTGTGTTTGAAAACATCATGGACGTACTCCATTTTGTGTGACAAGCAAATTTTATTGTAAATTGTTGAGAGTCATTTACTTACTATTTTAGTAAAATGACATACTATTTTATCAAAATAATTATTTCTCTTATAGACGGGAACAAAAAGAAATCATAAATATTTAATTTTAATTAAAAAAATATTTATTGTCATTAACATATAAATGAGCACGCCGCTGTTCTGATAAACATACCTTCAACCTTGAGCCGAGATCTTTCGGACACTCGATTCTATAGCGAGAATAGGGGACTGCGTAGTCTATATATTATACGTCATTGGATATCTGACTGTCACTCTGTCAATTGTCATTTCGACAGCTTATTCTCGGAGCCCGTTCTTGATTAATCACTGATGGATTGCCAACACTTAGTACTCCTTCCTTTCACTAATGTTTATGCCAAAAATATTAAACTTATGACTAGGTATTTTTACTTAACCTTCATGGTATGCATAATTTGCATACCTACCTAAACTGGCCTGTATATTAAACGCAAAACAAATATTGTTCACGTCATATTTTCCTTGTTCGTTTGGATTTCGAATTTGGAACAAAAGTCGCGATTATTCAAGTTTTATATTACAGTTTAGATTACATGCCATAGCAATGTACACCAGATGATGATGTATTTAACAATGATTGATTTTTTGCCTCAAAACAATTAGAGTAAACAATAAATTTACACTAGATATGTGGTAATATACAACAGATGCCAATAATGGTGAGGTTTCACCGCACAAGTTTTAACGACATTGGTTAAGTAAACACTGAACAATGATAAATCAGTGGCGGGCTATGTTAGTTTGAATAATATTTTTTATCGTGGGTGGTATGTACAAAAGCCACTTACTCATTTTCAGTAATTGTGAAAATATAGCCGTTTACTACCTGTGTGTCATAAAATATGTTCTATACGAACATAGTGGCTATGTGAAGAGAACCCATATGCTGGTTATCATCTTTATTAACTTACGGGCATTAAACATCTTTTTTTCATTTCAATATTCAAGATATATGTTCTAAAATGTATATATAATTTGTATATTTCCTTTCTAAATAACCAAAAACAATTCCTAAAACCCTGTGTAATAGAATACACATTATCAAGTTATGGGATAAATATAAAATCAGTAATGTATATTGGCAGTCGGAAGAGATAGGAATATTAAAGAATGATTATATGTGATCCATCAATATATAAATTAAGCACATTTACAGAAACTATTAAAAAGATTTTGTAATATATACCAAAACCTTAAATCATTAAAATTATTAAATCATCTGTTTACGTCTGTAAAGCCAAGCGCACACTGGGTCCGAGTCCGGACGGTACATACGTTCCGCATATTTTTAGGGAGCTGTACGCACTGATTCGGCCAGTACAGAATGGATGGTAGGTCGGTAGCGACCGGTCTGTTTCTAGCTTTTGTGCTGACAGTGTTATTGCTAAATATTGGGAAAATGTTAGTACAGAAGTACAGAAGAAATTATTGTTTAATGTAAGTTTAATGTTATTGGGAGAAAAAGTAAAGGCATAAAGTCAAAGGAAGATTTTGGATTCACAAAATAAATAGGAAGAGATTGGAAATAGGGCAGATTCACACCCTATTTCCTGACTTATTCAAAGATGATTAAGTTTTCCAGTATTTTCTAATGATCCACAGGAAATTAGTAAAACTTTTAAATGTCCTGAATATGACCTTGCTCATTCATTAGACCTCCAATCTCTTCCCAGCAGCTGTCCTGTCGACCATTTTAAAGCATTCCGGATGACGCAACATAATTAGTTCTGCAGCAACATAATTAGTTTACAAACATCTATTATAAATTACTTACGCAACTCAACTGAAACGGTGGAACGTCAGAACAGCTGATGGGTCATCGGTATTTCATATCCGGATGTCCTGAAAATTTTTCTTTCGGACGTTTCGAGGACGCCGGAGAGCGCGGATTGTTCTGGCCCGACGGTGATGTCCAAGTGCGCGCATCACCACGGAAACCAATGCTAATGCTTTTTGAAAAATTCCCTGCGGCCCCGACGCAGGTATAGTGCTAAGCTGTACACGACAGTTTTTAGAATCAATATTTCGTGTCATATTTCAAATAACTAATTTTACATTCGAAATTTGTTGACTTTAGTTAACTGCATGTTGGTATTATGACTATTTATTTATATTTTAATTTATGACGAGCAAAGGTAATTATTTTGCTATTATGTTATCTCTACGTTTTTCTATATCTAAATGTTTTTATTTCAAGTTCAAGTAGATAATATACTTATATTTATATATTTAAAGATAATATATTTATCTATACAGTGCGAGTCATAAGTCTTACGTTAGATAGAGACACATTAAGGGCGAGCGCCCACCAAAAAGGCGTGGCACGTGGCAAGTAGCAAGAAGCACGCGTCTAGCATGTTACATAAAATGTAACCAATGCAAACGAATGATTAGATCGAATGACGTCACTGTCATTTTGGTGTGTGTTGAATCATACGTTCTCATTGGTTATATTATAAGTAACACGCTAGACGCGTGCTTTTTGCTACTTGCCACGTGCCACGCCACTTTGATGGCCGCTCTCACTAAGACACACACCTCCGGTTACATGGACTGTTTGAGAGCCCTGGTTGAGAGCTTACGTTGCCATGAAGTGAATCTACTTCAAATTTTAACATTCTACATAATTATCAGCAACCATCTAGTCTAATACCAATTAAATAACATTTAAAATTTAAGCGTTTTTAAACATGGTAAATATTAAACCACATTGGCTTTAACCTTGGTCAAAATTTAACTTCATGTTTTTCATAATGAAAGTGTTTATACTGATTTTAGGTAACAGTATTAAAGATTGACTATTTAGTCAAAAAACATTCTGTGATTTAGTCTGTAAGGGTTATTTTAAATAAATACAGCTTTTATAAAAGATTTCTTAATAAAAAAATTTCGATGAATACATTTTTTGTTAACTGAATAAAGACACCTGTCCATTCTTTTTATGATACTTCAGTAACGTAACGATTAAAAATTGTGGACGGGTGCTATTTTGTACAATAATTTTAAATGGGATTATGTAACCAGTAAGACATTAATTAAAAGCTCTTTATACCTCAGTAAGTTCCCAGATTTTTGTAACATTTTCTTTTATTCTCTTTCCGTCTCCGGATCACTTCTTCATTACTTATACTGCCAAGGTTTGGTCGCCTCAATGACCCTGTCATTGCCTAGTAATAAGTCAAAGTGATTTGATAATAATCATGCTTGAGTCAAAACCGTGCAAACCAAATAGTGTTTCGAAGTTTTGCACTTCGCCAAAGTCGCATTTGTCATCTTCCCATCAAATATAAACACATTTTCTTAAGATTAACTTACATCGTGACATGTCGGTTTTAAGTCTATTAGGTGAGCTCCATGTAGTGTAGGGTAATAAATAACTTGCAGCCGTCTGCTTCTCGGGATCTACGGCATCAGCATGCAAAGTTTTTCTTCAAAGTTGTAAACGGCGTCATTCAGCAGTAGTTTTAATTGAAGCCGTGCTGCTCATGAAACTTCTACGAGATTTTAGTCTTGATGGGTGCTATTGCCGACCAAACAGGGACAGGGGATGCGTGGATCACTATCTTGTTTCTTTCACTCAACCTCAGTTTCCTTCTGATATTGGAAGGAACGATTCCTACTATAGAGAATATCTTGTAAACTGGAGTAGGTGTCAAACACCCAGATATTATTCGAGTAATATCGTTTATGACGTGAGCAACGTGGTGACTGTGAGCAAAGCGAGTCTAAACTGGAGCTGTACACTTTGCTGCAGAAAAACAAAAGGCCGGGGCTAATGTTCTCAGCACACTTGGCTGAAACTTGTTCCCATTAACTTACGAATTATACGTCTTGAGGAAATTTTAGCTTTGGTGTCTCTTCAATTACTTTTAAATGTATCTTCAATCGACGTCGGTGATCATTTGGCGTACAAATTTATTTAAAACGGGTCTGAATAGTTCTACTGATATTTTAGAAGTCCACTCTCTTGGATTTTTTGACCACGAGATTCGTCGTGCACGATCGTTTTCCTTTTTATCTATTCCAACATTACATCAGAATAGGAAAATAATGTAATACTTGCGAAATAATTCCATTTAAAATTATCTTACCAATTTTTTCTCACCCGTTGCTCACCACTAAAGCAAAGACCATATATATATATATATATATATATATATATATATATATATATATATATATATATATATATATATATATATAGTAAATCAATTACTCAAAAATGCACCTACTAATTCAAGGTTAAACGGTTCAGAAAATAGTTAGAGCTTAAGACTCGCACTGTATATATTTTGCGTACACGATTTTTATGGTAATTAAAAATCTTTTTCTTTGGCGTATATACTTTAAAAGACTAAGAACGAAACACTGATAATTAAAACAATGCCAAGGAAGTAAACCATTAAGAAATGATGATTTTTTAATAGTTGTACAATGGAAGATATCGAAGGACACTGAAAACTAGAGCTTTATTATATAATTTAAAACAGTATAACATGTTAGCAGTTCAACTTTTTGTAGTGTTTCATTCCTTTTGTTTCCTTAATAATATTTATTTTTATATTTTTATCTCGATGTATAGTACTATTAATATTCTCCGTAAATTGCCTGTCAATGGCCTGTAAATTTCACTAGTATTTTTTATGCAAATCTCCTTCCATTTTGTGCATCCTGCTCTGTTACGTGCATCTATATACACCATCTATTTTGTAATCTAATAAATGAGAACGAAGATCAGGGATATTGTGGAAGAAATTACAAAAATGAAATGGCGCTGGGCAGGTCACGTAGCCCGATATAATGACAACAGGTGGACACGGAGAATTCTAGAATGGAGACAAAGGACGACAACAAGAAGCATGGGAAGACCTCAAAAAAGATGGGTAGATGACATAAGAGCAGTGGCAGGCAAACAGTGGATTATATTGGCGCAAGATAGAGAAAGGTGGAAGCAATTGGGGGAGACCTACATTCAGGAGTGGATGGAAAATGGTTGACAAAGAGAGAATAAATGAGTCCACTATAGATAAAAATAGGCGGGTCAGTAGTGGAACATCAATCTTCTTTCGCTTTATTCCAATTCAGACGTTTTTTAAACAGTTTCTTTTAAGAAATGTAAGTACATAAAGCTGATCAGTGAGATAATCTAGCTTTCAGTATCCTTTAGATTTAACTTAGTAGACTGTTTTTTAAATTTTAGGGTAGGAAAAACTATTCCAATTAAATATTTTAAATTACTGTTACGAGAAACATCAAAAACAGCAACAACGTAAAAGCTGTAAATAACTAGTTTTATTTAGTATCTTTTTTATTATTATTGAAAAATTACTGAATTTGACAGTAAATTTTATATATGATAATGAAAATCTACTGACCAGAGCAGTGCTGAATAAGTCGGCTAATAAACAGTCAGTGATTTTTTTTGAGAATTTAAACTGTAATATATTTACAACCAAGAAAAAGCTTACGAAATGCACGGACTTGGTGAGACAATTCTGCCGATGAAAGCGTCATTAGCCGAAGAATCGTAAAATAGTGGTAGAGCAGAAAACGATTCATACCTCAAGATAGATCTGTGGTTGTTTGCGTTTTGTTTAAGTTCCGATTTTTCGTGGGCAAATAGATTATAGTAAATAGACAGAAGATATATTAGATATTGCATAGTTTTAACCACAAATACATCCGACTAGTAAAGGCAACAATGGACTTATCAACAACAACTATCCAACAGTCCATTTAAGAATACAAAATGAGCTCACTGAGAGCTCTTCAATAGTCGAAAGGTTCAAGTAAGGCCACGGGCTGGCACCGACACTTTTCAATCTGACTCTAGAGTATGTGAAAAGACAGTTGAATATAAGATGAGAGCTAATCTTCTAACAATACAGATCGCCACCTGTGCCGATGGCATCAGTATTATGTTTCGCAGAACGGTAGAGGCGACATAAATGTATTAATAATTAAAAAATGGGCAAGACACCAGATGAAAAATACATATTCAAAAGACAAAAAAGCTTAAACAGGCAAGAGCTAATACAAACAGATACACAGTTGAACTTGAGCACAATATTGAAACTGTAGAAAGTTTCCCATATTTGGGAATTGCATTAATCACGGATGGAACAGAAGAATCAGAAATTTAAAAAATAGTAAAGGGAACAAAGTGTATTTTTCACTCGGTCATGTTCCGCTCCAAAAACACACACTGGAGATAGAAAATCATTGTCAAAAAAACTATTATCAGACCAATAGTATGTTATAGATGCGAGACATGGATAATGGCAGAAGACACAAAAAGAAAGCTGAAAGTTTTCGAAAGAAAAGGCGTAAGGAAGATATTTAGACCTATTAAAGAAACCGAAGTGTGAAGATCCAGGTACAACCATGAACTCTACCAACTGCTCAAAGAGAAACCGATCTCAGACTTCGTTACACTTCAGAGACTTCGATGGGCTGGTCATGTAGTGAGACTGGTTACCGCAAAATTGCCGAAAAGGGCACTATATAGTAAAATACAGGGCGCAAGATCAAAAGGGAGGCCACGGAAAAGATGGGAGGATGAAGTGGCAGCTGACGCAAAAAATTTGCTAGACGTAAGAACATGGAAAAGATCAGCGCGGGACCGGCAAGGATGGAGGCATAATTTGGAAAAAGTCAAGTCACAATTTGTGCTGTAGAGCCATTGGAGAGAGAGAAAGAGAGAGAGAGAGAGAGAGAGAGAGAGAGAGAGAGAGAGAGAGAGAGAGAGAATAGATTATAGTACAATATAGAAACATTTTTTTCCTCTATCGCTATTTTACGGTCTTTCATTCATTTATTTTACGAATCTAACAAATATATTGTCAGAAAGATGATCACGTGGTGTTTATGTGCACTTATTCTTTGCTGTGAATATATTATACAGATTTTAATCTTTATTTTTAAGATATAATTTAACCTTAACTTTCCTTTACCAACAACATATAAAAATAGTGCATAATATTACAAACACTATGATAAAATATCACATAAGAAAAGAAATTAATGAGACTTGACTGTCGTTAAGTCAAGCCAATTCATATGACCCCTTGTCGAAAGACAAGAGATCATAGAAAAGTATAGAAGAGCGATTTTTTTTAATAATATTTCTAATTTGTCTATTTATACATATTTGGAACACTACACTTTTGTTATTATGTGTTAATAATTTATATACGGATTGATGTTATCTATTTTTTGTATCTGTTTTCAGTTCCAAATCTTCTTGCTTTGTTTTTTAGATTTTTCAAATTTTCTTGTAAAATGTGTGCTATGTTTTGACTACAGTTCTGAAACTGTTTTCTTGTGGCATATTTACTTCAAAATGTTTTAATTTGACAATATTTAACTTGATAAAACTAGCTTTACATTCATTATTATTTACACTAATACTCAAAGAAGACTTAAAAATAATATATTGAGAATAAATATTTTGTAAAATTTTGCAGAACCTGCTGTTGTTTTCTTCCGTGTGTCTTCTCGAGGTACGTTGGCAACCAACGTCACTTATATTATTGTTAAAACTAAGATCTGTTTAAAAACTAAAAGAGTACCACTAAAAGCTTCATTTATTCTAATGCCTTTTGATTGTTATTATGGATGCTATTCTTATTATTCATTAGTCATAGATAGTTACTCTTTTTTTTTTCTGTGCATTGATATAGTATTTGGTCTAATATCTAGTCTTTTCCTATAGCGATCAAATTCTGTTTTATTTTATGATACGAATTTTATGGTCAATGATCACTGGGAACGTCTTTCGACAGAAATGGAACAAGATTTTTATGGTCTGCAAAAGGAAATATGGCGCTTTATAAGAAGTCAAAAAACGTAAAGGAACTAGTAGAATTAAAATACATAGAAAAGGATACATGGAT